TGGCAGCTACTGAAATCCAATCATTTCTGCGAGGGTTCGTATTTCTCGACTGATTTCAGTTGGCCGCCTTCTCCTTTTTCTCCGCCTAGTGCGTACAAGCAGTCACATATTACAGCAGACCCCAGGTGCTTTCGACGTGTAGACATCCTATGAACGAACTCCCATCTGCCAACTCGCGGATCTAATCTGAAAAGAAGGACATTGCGCACTAAACTATAGGGTTGACCGCAAGTAACGGCCTAGACTGAAATTTTGCCTAAAGATGAGATGACTTAGAAAAAGCTTTCCACACATTTCGGTGGACTGGTAGACTTCCTCACTCTACGCGAAGATATGTTTAATTTTTTTTGGAAATTCTATTCTCATAAATGTCCAAATGCTCAGTGTCAGGTCGGTGAATCTGAACTTTTTCGACACCCCCATACTTTTGCGTTATACTGAAAAACTTTAACTACAGATGCTTGTTCCTCAAATGTCAGGCGAAGAAGCAGTAATTCTCGCGAAGGCACAAGCGGTACAAAGACAATTGGCACGATAATTTGGTACTCGGCAAAACTTTGCTGATATGTGACTAGGTCAAAGTGACTTTTTTTTGGCCACCCCTGTATAAAAAGCTCCAAATCATAAAGCATGAAGATGCAGATGGAATACTGTCATTTAGAATGCAGCTAGTAATGGGCAGCTTATGCATCAAGAACGCCTTTGCGGCGGAGAGAAATGCAGCCTGAGGTTAGCAACGGAAAGGAAAGGAGATTACTCTAAGGAACAAACCAACAAAAGGGCGGTGGAGCAGAAGATTACATTACTAGAAAAAGTTATTAGCTCACAATGTACTAGAATTGCTGTTCTATAAAATACTTCTCTTTCACATTTTAAATTTCATGGGCAATTTTAAAAATTATTCAACTTTTTCGAGTTATCGGTTCACCCCTGGTCAACTGATATGGGTTTCCATGATGGCTACTTGGGATGTCCCATGAGTTCCAGTATGTTGAGACAGTCGTACCGCTTCAGAATGTCCGTAAAAACGAATTTTGCGATAGCAATGCATGTTCGACGTTGTTTTTTGGTAGTCGCTATAGTTTTACCTTATAGAGAGTTTTCAGCGTAATCTGATTTTACAGCACGCGTGAATATATCGTTTTCTCTAATCTTAGTTATGGTTTGCATGAACGTCTTCAAGCGGTCGCAGGGATCAGCTGCCGACCTCAACTGTACCTGTACTAGTTACCTCAGGACCTTCGTCGCACATCGTCGGTAGATTGCTAGGCGACGTGGTTGAGTATTTACAACCTATTCGAATAGAGCCGCTGATAATTCCATCGATAAGCATTACCTGAAGTTTCAGGTCCTCATAGTGACCGAATTCGTCCCATGATTTCAATGTAATGAATTCGATCAAGAAAATTTTGAACATACAGGAGAAATTTAAGAATTTGAAGAGGGAACATATTCTGGAACAGGGACTCTTGTTTTATTGAGGTTATCCTTCCATGAGAAAGTGATTTTGCACTGGATGTGGAGCGAAGACTTGAAGTTGACAGCCGATAAAAAAAGGCAGCCTGAAGTTGGTCACTGTTTCTCACTTTTGTGATCAGCACGAGATCCCCTGAGCGCAGCTATTTCGAGAAGTCCTGGTGTTCCTCGGTGCATTGGGAATTTCACTCAAAAAATGCAAGAAAACCTATATGTGTGCCAATATTGCACGATGTACTGGCTTCAGGTAGCTAGAGAACGCTGACTCAATTTTTGAACATCGCAAGCTGTTAAAAAAGAAGGTTGTGCAGGGCACGCCTATTGTCATCCTGTCTGAGCCTGAACAGCGCTTGAGGTTTTCCGAATTGAAAAGGTGAATCGTGCAGAGGGGCCATTCAGTTGTATTTCTCCA